GCAGAGGTTTTCTGATGAGCACTTCTGGTTTGTTTATTTTTTAACATCCAGTTAAGACAGACTTAACTACAGGAACATATCTATACAAAATTGATCTAGAAAACATCAGTGAGCAGAATGCAAAAGGTTAAATATTTGGTAAATGCAGTGTCTGCATAGCCAGGGACATGATAAATGTATCTGAAGCAGTGTCTTTTTGCAATGCTTGTGTATTATATTTCTGTTGCTTACAACTGTCAGCACAAGGACAGGATGGCTGGGGATGTGAGCAGGCAGCTGTCTCTGGGAGCCTATAGATAGCAGCTTCCTTGGGTAGCACGTTTGCAGCTCCTTCAAACAGATTTATCAAGCATCTTTACTGTCTCACCACTGCCAGCTCAAATGACTTCTCAAGGAGCTTTGGTTATGCAAGCTTTTAAAAGGTGCATTGTTTTTTCTATTTGTTTCTTTTTGTGTGTGTATGTGTGTGTGTGCGCCAGGTTTTTTTTTAGTAACTCACTGCAGCAGATAAATCTAGTGCAGGGTTTCACCATGTGTTAGGGGAAAAAAAATAATACTCCATTTGTCCACCGTGACCAGGCTTTAAATAAGCATCAGAACTTCCAGCAGCTGTGCAGAACAGCGGAACAGCACAGGTCAGAGAGATGCTCTGGGAGTGAGGAGAGGAGAACCTGCAGAGACGGGAGCTGGAAATAGCATCTGCTTGGCAGATCCAGAGGATACATCCATAATCATTGTAGGCTCTTGGAATGCTTCACAGAATATTCCCCTCTGAGTCCTGGGTGACCTGGAGGAGTTTGGAGACAAACAGGAGCCCCTCAGCTGGCTCCAAGTCCCTCTGGATGGCCATGGAAAACAGGAGGTGGAGGAAGGGAGGGCTGGGGAAACAGCCAAAGGAGCTTCCCAGAGAATTTCTCTGCTCATTACTGCTGCACTTCACAGCATGGGAACTTCCAATAATGAAGACTTTAAAGGCTTCTTCAAAGAGCTTCCAGGCTGTATCCAAAGCTCCATCTGGAAGAAGTCTCATGAGACTTTGGAATGTTTTGTAAATACAGGCAGGGGACAAATAAGGTTTTTCTTAAATTGAATCTGGCAAAAGTTTGCTTTCTAACGAGAGCTTGCAACAGACCACATGAGCAGGAGTGTTTCCCAAAGTGCATCCCTGGTGGAATGTTTTTTTGAAAGGGTGCAGTTAATTTGTCATCCCTACAAAGTCTTTTACTACCACAGTAAATTATAGGCCTTTTGGGAATGTGCTGTACTTGGTTCTTTTCAGGTTGTGTTTCTGGACTTGGATTGCTGGGCAAAACCAAATATGCTGCTTTATCCTGTTTGCCTGTGGATTTGTTTTGTGTTTCAGCAGACTGAATAGCATTTCTATTTAAATCATTCCTCATTCTAACTAAAACAATTGCTGTTCTGTGGTGTCAGGGGGTTCCTGAGGTAACAGGAACACTACATTTTGTGATTTGAAAGGCCCAGTTCATTTCAGTCCATTTTCCCTGCTTTGTTTGGGTTAGTGATGCCTCATCAGCTCCCCCAGACCATGACAGGCTTGGGGATTTTCAGCACTGGTGGCCTCGTTGAGGATTTTAGGCAGGGGCTGCAACATCATTTTCCCATCAGCAGTGCTAATGCTCTAGAACAGCGAGTTTTAAAAATTAGAGGTCTCTCTTGGCTGGTTTCCCCCTTTCCTGCAGCTGTTGATGACACTGTGAGTTATCCAGAGCTGTTGTTTGCATGTGTGTTCCATTTAGCGCTTCTGGCAGTGTATGAGAAAAGAGTGAGAAAAACCTAGGAAAACTATCAGAAGTCTGAAAGAAAAAAATCTTCTATAGATTGAAAATATCTTCCACTCTCATCTTGGTATTTTTCCTTTCAGTTGGGCTCTTAACAAGGAATTCCAGAGTACTTCATAAACACAGATTTAGGCCTTCTACAGCCTTCCTCCTCCTCCTCCTCCTCCTCTCCCTGAGGAAATGACATTCTCATTCCTTGTTTGCAGATGAGGAATGAAGGTCTGAGTGGTGAAGTGACTCGTCCAAGGTCAGCTGCTGAGTTAGTGGCACAGCTATGAATAGACAAAGGCATTTTAGCTCTCAGCTCTCTGCTAAACAAGACCGTGCCCTCCCAGTTTCAATTTGTCAAACTTCATGACTAATAACATTTGAGCATCTAGAACGTGGCAGAGGAATTTCATTTCAGCAGCCAGCAGGTTACACCAGCAGCAGGGTGGAAGTTCCTCCCTGTCCCCAGGGATCCTGGTGATGCTTTTTGGGTTTTGTGAAGAGAGGACAGAACTGCTCTCCTTGGATTGCTGTTTGTGGGATGCTGGTGCTGCTCACCTGAGTGCTAAAAAGAGAGATCCCAGAGCTGACTCTTCATTTGTCTTGGTGTAGCAGTAATAAAATGTCCTCAAGAGCAGTTTGCCTTCAACAACTATTTTAAACTTCCAGTGCAATCTGCTGTTCCTTGAAGGGAAAAAGTAATTTCAACTAAAAGTGTTCTGAGGAGCCAAGTGAGAGAAGTAAATGTTGAGTAGTGCTAATCAGGAAGAGGAAGTCATCTGTCTGCATGTGGGCACTTCCCTGCTCACACGGCACAGCCCAGAAACAGCCACATAAGAAGCTTTGTGATCAACAAATGTCAAGGGCAATTAATTCTTCAGCCAGCAGTTGTTATTATTAGGACAAGGAGTGGCCAGACATAGACGGAAAGCCTTCAGCTGATTTATTTTCTCTACCTTTCCCATCAAAATTGATCAGTTGCTCAAACCCCAGTGGTGAACTCGCATGCAATAAGAATTTTAAATTTGCCATCTCTTTTATTTTTTTCAGTAGGAGAGTCTGTATTAGATTTCGAGCACAGAGGAACAGCTCAGGGAAGGCGTTTAGGAAGTCCTCCCCACTGTAATGCTATCAGGATGGAGAGGAGTTGTGTGTTAAGCTGGTAACATAATAATATGTGGGCTGAACTAAACCCACCTCAGACTGGTTTTCTCAAACTTAATTGATGGAAACAAAGCACTTTTAGGCTTGATTTAATACCTTCCCAGAGTTATTCCAGGATTGCTGCAATGCAACTGTGGGTGTTCTAAACACACCTACGCTGCCAGAGAATCAGGAAGGATGTACTTAAAATCCTCTAATTTATCTAATAACATCTTTAGCAGCTTTCTGTGTAGGTTTAGCATTGTAATGGAAATGTATTCTTTGGCTGGATAAAGAACTGCTGTGTGGAACTGCTCGCTCTGGCTGTGAGGACATGTGAACAGCACTTGGAGCTGGGGAGGGAAATACTCTGACCTGCTACACCCCCTGTAAATGCACCTTTCACTTGTGTCATTGGTCTCTGAAGTTAAAATAATATCTAAAATTGCATATACAAGGGGTTTTGGCTCTGGGTATCAACAGACATTACTGTCTCCCCTCCCAGGTCCAGGCAGAGCAGAAATTCCTCCTTTCTGGGATATTTTTAATTTGCTGTTTAGGTCCTGAGTCTATTTTAGCCACTGTTGTTGCCCCAGTTCTTAACCAGGTTCCCTCTTTGCCCATCAGTGGATGCTCCTGGGGGGTTCTTTCTAAGTGACACAAAACAAGTTTGGTTTTTCTGAAGAGTTTCAGCATTGAGCTGGTCAGGGGAAGCCTTGGACTGGAAACAAGCTCAGATTCCTGCGGGTGCCCTGCTGGTAACTGCTGGAATAAGTATTGTATCCCGGGCATTGCAATCTCTCCCTTTTTTGGGGAATCTCATCTAACATGAGCAGAAGCAGCATCACCACATGAAAAACCTGCTCTTTGTGAGCTAAATAAAGACAGAAAAGACGAGACAGAAAATCAGCTCCTCCACGTGCCAGAAGCAAGGGATGTCCCGCTGTGTTTTCCTCCGGCTGATCGCTCCTACAGCGGGAACTGGAGCTAAATAGGATCAGAGCTGAGCTGGGGAGAGCCGGCCCTAAGGCAGCTGATTTCCCCCAGCAGAGGAGCTCCCTGGATGTGCTGCAGGAGCCCAGTGCCCACCTGGGAATTCCAGGGAAATCCTCAGGTTGGATGGGACCCTAAGGAGGTGTGAGTGGCTCCCTGTGTGACTTCCTTGTCTCATAACAATGTTGGACAAAGCTATTTATTGCTAATTTTATCTTTTAATCATTTATAGATTATGTTGAACCGAAGAAATAGTTTTAGGAAGTGTTTGTGTTTATTCCTTGGATTTCTGACTTGGAATTTTGTGGTTGATGGTTCGTTTCTGGACTGCAATTGGCACTGTGTCTCTCAGTGACCCTGTGATAGTGGAATGGCTTGGGAAAAACACCATTACCCCAATATTATCTGTGGAAATTGGAAGTTTCAGGCTGTGTCAGCAGGAAACACCTGGAGAAGTTGAGGCTGACCAATGGGAAATGTAAAGTCATAGATAAATTAAGAAGTATTAAATTCCTCTTGAATGAGAGAATGTACATTAAAGTGGCCTTGGCTTGCTATAGATTAATTAACCTTTTGGGGATACCAGGTTTAATTAAACCACCGTGAGTTAAAGCCACTTCACTCTGGGTAGAAATCATTCCTGAAGGAGCTTTTTTACCTTATGTGCATCAGCTCCCTGTGGGTTAACCTTAACTTACAGTGCCCCTTAGAGAGGCTTTGGACACTGAAATTTGATGAATTCTGGAACCCTGACTCCAAATCTTAGGAGAAACTGGACTTGAGTTAAAATTGTACCAGACATATGTAAAAAATGTAGTTGTGTGACAGACTCTGGAGGGTTCAAGCCTAGATTTGAAAAGAATTTTAATACAGGTTATGAACTGAAACATTAAAACTTAAACAGGGAACAGAGGAGTGCAAGAGGGCAACTAAAAGCCATCAGTGAGTCTGAGGTCTTGCTGCAGGGCTGTGGTGCTGAATGGCAAAGAAGAACTTTGGTGAAAAATGCACCCATGTCACCTTGCTGAATCACACTAAAACATCTTCTTGTGGGTTTCTCTTTTTCTTTTCCAGTAATTGCCCTTCTTTCCTGGCCTCTGCTTTAGCCAGAGCAACTTCAGATGAAGTCCTGCAGAGCGACCTCTCGGCGCATTTCCTGCCCAAGCGCGTGGACAACGCCGATGGCATCATCCGTAAGTGCCACCTAAAGGAAGCTGGACTGGAATTCTGGGAGAGGAACATCCCACAGGGCTGTGAAAAGGTTAACGGGGAGCTCACCACCACTGCTGATAGAGCTGGAGGTCTTATTTCTCTGTCAAAGCTTTCTCACCTCTGGAATCACTCTTTTAAGTGCATTTTCATGGCTGTGTCTGATGGCCCTGAATCTCTCTCTCAGCACTTTATACAATGTGGTTCTGCTGGCAAGTGCCAGTTGTCCTCCCTCATCCTTGGAGCAAAGTCAAATATATGTGGGAAGAGATAATTTAATTCCGAATTATTTCAGTCAGTGTGCTTTTTACTATGGCTTGTAAGTTTTTTAAATGGTTTTAGGAAAAGGTAGTATAAAGAGATTTTGTGATCAAAAGGAAGAAAATCCCTTTTTCTCATTTATTTATGTTGGCTGACAAGATTCTTGCAGCCTTCAGCTCAAGGTCATACACCCTAACTCATTTCAGGGCTCTGCTGGCCTAAATAACCTTGAAAATTGGCTGGATTGTTCATTACAACAAAGACCAATGTTTCTCACATGTATTGACAGGAATTCTGTCATTTAATCTTGAAAATACAGTCCCCAAACCACTTCATCCATTCCCTCCTTTTTTGATTAAAAAAAAATCCTGTAAATTATTCTGGGGATAAGGAAGATCTATAAATCTGGCTCTTCAAAAGAAAGATTTTGCTGTGTTCTCCAGAAGCCCTTGGAAACCTGAGAAACAGAAAAACATGCTCTGGGTTCCCTTTCAGTAGGTATTGCTGCCTCCTCCTGCTGAGCAGGTAAATGGAATAGATTTGTCATTGTTCTGGCTGAGCAGCCTTCATTAATTTCAAATTGAGATCTCTGAAACTTGCATAAATATTTGACAGTCTCCAAGGAAATGTTGACTAAGCCTCCACACAGAATATCTACAGAATTCAACAAAAAAGGAAAAAAGAAAGGAAAAAAACCACCACAAAACCCTCACACCTACAGAAATTGCCATTTAAATATATTTAAGGCTGTAAGACACAGATGCAAACATAGATTGAGATGGGAGCAGACTGGAGCAGGCACTAAGAATAGGGTTCCAGATGCAGTTTGTTGAGGTGAATTGTCATAATGAGCATACTTGGAAATAAAATATCCCTTTGCTTATGCAGTGTGAAGTGTTAAATTGTGAGGGTTTAGGGGGAGAGGAAGAGAGAAAACATCCTCTGGCCTGTAGTAAAGCAACACCTTCATACAAACCTTGCAATTTCAAATAATCTAAGTGATAATTTTCCAAAGCAGAACATCAGCTCAAGTGTCATAGGATGACAGAATCACAGAATGGTTTGTGACGTTAGAGATCGAGTCCCACACCCTGCCATGGGCAGGAACACCTCCCGCTATCCCAGGTTGCTCCAAGGCCCATCCAACCTGGCCTTGGACACTTCCAGGGATCCAGAGGCAGCCACAGCTCCTCTGGGCACCCTGTGCTCCATCAGTGCTTCATCAGCCACAAGTGCAAGGTTTGGCCTAGAAAACGTGAACAAAACTGGTGGCAGCAGCAGCTCCATCCTAGAGACCCTTCCAGGGGAGTCCCTGAGGAGCCTGGGGTGGGTGCTGAGAGATCTGCCCTCAGTGGTGCTGGACAGGGAGACTTTAATGCTTTGGAAGAAAGCAGAGGGAAGTGTGGCAGCTGGTGAAAATGGGGTTTCTACATCTTCAAGTCTGATGCTCAGAGTTCACCGTGCCCTGATGCTGTTTGAGCTGCTGCAGAATGTGAAACCAAGCTGAACTTCGCTGCCTGGCTTTAATATCCAGTTCTATGCCAGTTTTTTTATGAACCCAGAAAGATTTTTACTCTGTGTAATACAAGGAGACATTTACCTGATTTGCCTCAAGTTTGAATTTGCCAGAAGGAAAAAAAAAAACTATTTCATATTTCCTTAGTGGCACATTTCACTCTGAGAATTGTAACGTGACAAATCATGTCCTGTACTTAGGAGTGGTGAAAGCAGTTCTTGGTGTGCTGGTGGAAAGAAATGAGAAACTCCATGACAAAAGAATGCAAATCATAAAAGAAGGAAGACTGGCTGGAGTCCACACGTGTAGGATTGCAAGAACAGGGGTCTGTTATATTTGGGGTGACCATGTGTTTTTGGATATCTGAGTCACAGGCCATGACTCCTCTCTTCCAGCTGCACTGGAGAGGAGCAAGAGATTTTCCATGAGAACTGAATGATGCTGGATTTCTTTTTTGAAAGGTCAGGTTAAGGACATTTGGATTTGGGGTTTGTTTGTGGAGGAAGAAAATCACGTGGAAGTTTGGCATTGTTAAGGAAGCACCAAAGGAGGCTGGATAGCAGGACCTGGTGGTGGTATCAAATTTGCAGGAGATGTCACAAAGCACATCATCATGTCCCAGGTTCTAGGAGATGGATCCTGGAGATCTCCAAAGACATCTAGAGTTCTTAAATTAAGGAAAACCTTGGTCTTGGTTCTGACCCCTGTTGTCACACTGTCCATGTTTTCAACACAGCTTATAAAATATGGCACTAAAAAGCAGGATCTGATTCTTGGTATTCTTTCTACTCTCGTTCTGCCCTGTCATCTTTGGGAGCAGCAATGCCTGAGCTGGATTTCCCACTAGCTGTGGTGCAGCTCAGCATTACTTCCAGCCTTGGGGATTTGGGAACAGCAGGAGGGAAATTAAATTCTCCGTGACACAACCGCAGTGTCAGCTGAGTCAGCTCTGGCTCAGCACGGCAACATTAACAATTGATGAGTAATTTCCAGCTGTGAGGGGGTGGTTTTTATTGTGGTATTTTATTATTCTCCTGTTTTAACCTCACGAGCAGTTACTGATGATGCTGATACCACACACGGTGCCCTGGGAAGGGTGGTGAGGATCTCAGCAGGGTTCACTGCCATCCTCCTGCAGAGGTGCCACAGCCACGTGACTCTGCCGTGTGCCCACTTCACCCCTGCCCAGTGGGGACAAATGGGAGAGCAGAATCTGTGGGCTTTCCTCTGGAAAACAGAACTTGGACACCTCAGGTTGGACGTGTTCCCTCTCGAAATACGTTACCCAAAGAGATTTCTGGTGGCCCCAGTGAGAGCAGTACAGGTGGGGTAAGGAAGCCCCACACTCACACTGTGGCAGTGGTGGGATGACCCAGTTGTTTCATTTCCACCCCTTGGTTTTAAAGCTGTGTGATCAAGGAGCTAAGGTTCCTTTTGGTTATTTATCCAGTGTATTTTCAGCTTAATGCCTCTTGATTGAACCAACTCATAATCAACAGAGCTGGGACAGTATCTTGTTCCTAAGGGTCTTGGTGTCCTGTCCCTGTAGACCTAGGACAGAAATTTGTAAATGCTGCTCTTTAGGCTCTTCACAGAATTCCTGTGAACCAAGAGATGCTGCAACTTTCCCCCTCCTCCCTGCATGTGAGCCCCTCCTCCTCCAGGAGTGATTGGCACTCCTGGATTGCTGCTGTTTAGCTTTGAAGATCCCTGGCTTTGGTGAGCGATCATGAACAAAGAGATTTCGATGTGTTCAGCTCTGATGCTGACTTCCTGTTTTCCTCTCCTGAATTTCAGAACAAATGTCAAATGCCTGAGTTTTCACATTTTAAAATGACAGTTTCTCAGGAGTGACAGTTCAGCATTTTCTTAAATTTGAGGCCTTTATGGATTTCTCATTTGCTCACACAGATTTCTCTGACACGCCGTTGTCAGGAATACAGGAATAATAGAAAATCTGGAAATAGCTAAGAAGGCACCTGTGCACTGCTGAAAGTGCACAAAACATCTTAAAATGGCTCTACTAATTTCTGCAGATTTTTTCCACTGTCTTGCCTCAGCTCTGCAATGAAATGATGTTTAGAATAGGGAATTTGGTCCAAACCCAGTGTGTCATTGTCACGGAGGGTGGGTTTTGTAGGTGGCACCCCGTGCTATGACAAAGTCAGAGCTGCACCACTCTGGGCAGGGCCATGCCAGGGATCCAACACTTTTTGTGCCTTTCATTTTCTCTGCTGCTGCAAATGAGCTCCCCAAAGGCACAGGGAAATGTTTAAGTTAAAAAGACAAACAAACAATGAGCTGCTTACTGATGAATGCTGATTATGGTGAGTTTGGCTCCCTCTTTTCATGCATCAAAGCCCAGAATTTCCCTGCTGACATCAACTGCTTGGCTAAAATGGTTTTGTTTCATCTTTCTAATGTATGCAAGGGAGAAAACTCTGACTTAATAACACTCTCAAGGCTTTCATTTGTGGTTTGTGCCTCCCCCAGAGATCGAGACGGTGAAGTTGGCCCGTTTAGTTTACAGCAAACTGCACGAGATCTGCAGCAACTGGGTGAAAGATTTCCCCCTGCAGCCCAAGCCCCACCGCTACTACGAGACCTCCATCCACGCCATCAAGAACATGCGCAGGAAGATGGAGGACAAGCACGTCTGCATCCCTGACTTCAACATGCTCTTCAACCTCGAGGTGAGCACAGAGCACGTGGGAGACACAGATTCTGTGATCAGTGGGTTCCATCCTGGGAAAGCAGGAGGTTTTCCACCGAGGAAGTGAAAGGTGATGGACCTGAGGAGGGTTGGCAGCTGGTGTTCACCAGGTCATCTCACACTTCATCTCTGAAGGCACTAGGCAGCTGGGGGTGGGTCTGCTCTGCTTTTCAATCCTTCCTCTTGGGAGGAAGAAGCCAAAAGCAAAAATAAGGAAATTAAGTAAAAAACCCAAAACAAACCCAGAACTTACAGAACTACGGGGTGCAGCTCACACACTTCCAGAAATGTGAGTAGTTTGGTGGAACTAAAGCTTGTCTTCCGTTAATTTCTTGATGTGGCCATTGGTCAAACACTCATTCTTGCTCTTCCTTAAGATATAAAACTGGACACTGAGGAATGGAAAGTAAAAGAAAATGACAATAATTTTACCTTAAGGATCAAATTGCTGCATAATTTCCTCTTTATTATACCCTGTCACTTTAATAAAAATCTTCTGCCCCATCCACATTCTTACCTTTAAATGATATTAATGCAAACAGAGGCAGATGTTTCCTTTGCCTGTCAATTGTCAGCTTTCTTATTCCAATTTGTGTTGGAGCCCATTACCTAAAAATTACAATGTGCAAATATTCCAGTCACTGAGCTGGCTGTCAAGGTTGAATTGGCTCTGTCAGTGGGTTGGTGTTGTGTGTGTGAATAGGCACAGGAGTTGCTGTCTCCTGGTACCACGTTGTTTCTCTGAACAGAGGAGAGGAAGCTGAGAAAACTGCCTTGAAGATGAGTGATTTTGCTGTATTTGATTTGTGAATGTAATCACAATTTTCTGATGAGAGACCACATGCAGTTTTTTTAAAACACAGGCATTTAAGACGATATGTTTTAGATTTAAGGAAAAAAAGAAGAGTGAAAGCAGAGGCTGGCTGGCTTCACATTTTAACACTACTGGCATTCTATCCCTGGTGGATTCCAATCATGATGTAGGCTTCATGCAAACTGTATTCGATGTTCTTCTCTCTCTGTGGTTTTTGCAGTCACAAAATCTCTTGCACAATTTGATGAGAATGGCACTTCCTATTTGAGTTGTGTGACTGAGCTGTAACAAATGGGACCTAAGGAGCACTGAGAGCACTTCACAGGGGATTCTGGCAAGGCATCTCTTGCACTTTGCAGGTAGAATTCAACAACAAGGTGCAAATTTCCCATTGATGCAAGTGCAGGTGGTCAGTTTGCTTTTCCAGTGGAAATTCTGTCTCTAATTGCAATTTAATGAGGACAGCACAAATCCCAGTTCAAAGCTTTAAGACAATCCAATGAGCTGTTTGTGTTGCTTTCACCTGAGATTTTTCCTCCCTGTGTTTCCACTGACAGGACCAAGAAGAACAAGCTTATTTTGCAGTGTTTGATGGTCATGGAGGAGTGGATGCTGCCATCTATGCCTCCATCCACCTGCACGTGAACATGGTCCACCAGGAGATGTTCCAGCACGACCCAGCCGAGGCTCTGTGCCGAGCCTTCCGCGTGACCGACGAGCGCTTTGTGCAGAAGGCAGCCAGGGAGGTGAGGGACTCTGGAAGCATTCATTAAATCCTGCCTCTTCAGAGGGGGGCTCCAGGCACAGTAGAATCAGCACAGAGCTGTCCATGCAGCTGTCTGTCCATAGTTTCACATCCCATAAAAATGTCAGCTCCTGCTTCTCACAGCTTCCAGCTCCTCTGAAGGATGCTGCTGGCATTCCCACACTCACCTGCCTGCCAGGCTCAGTCCTTGGGCTCACTAACACACAGCTGTGCCTGTCAGTAGCAGGAGCAGCCCCAGCAGTGCCCAGCTCCTGGCAGGTGGGTCCCATGCCAGGGATGTCATGGGGCACGTTCCTGTTCAGACAGGTTGGCTCCAAGGGACTGTTAGTGAGCACTCGTAGCCTTAGGGAAAGCACTGCCTGTTCCTCCCTGGGAATAGACTCTGTGCTACAGTTTCAACATGTTCTGTCCCCGAGTTAAGTAAGAAAATGCTTTGAAATGGAAATGTATTTTTTTTGCAGAGCCTGCGCTGTGGAACCACCGGGGTGGTGACTTTCATCCGAGGGAATATGCTGCATGTGGCTTGGCTGGGGGACTCCCAGGTCATGCTTGTGAGGAAAGGCCAAGCTGTGGAGCTGATGAAACCCCACAAACCAGATCGAGAGGTGAGATGGGCCTGTCTAAACACCCCTGGGCAGTGACCAGCACAGGCACCAGCGTTGGGGGAGCGCTGCCATGCCAGGATCTCCTTGAGCAGTAGTGCATGTTCCACTTACCTTGGTTTGTTTGGATCTATGTGCAAATCCTTTGTTTCATGGGGCCTGCCATGTCTGTGAAAATCCAGATATTGATGGGAGTGTTGAGTGTGTGATGCAGCTCTGACTGCTCTGCCCAAACCTCTCTTGTGTTGCTGTTCAGGATGAGAAGAAGCGAATCGAGGCCCTGGGTGGCTGCGTGGTCTGGTTTGGAGCCTGGAGGGTGAATGGGAGCCTCTCTGTCTCCAGAGCTATTGGTAAGAGAGCCTTCATTCCTTTTTGAGACTTGCTTTGCTTTTTAACTATAAAATTTTAATTTTCTAGTCATCAAAATTTGACATACAGCTGAAGATAGACCTCTGAGCAATAACTTCTATTTTTCCCCCTACAGTCTGAGGGAGTAATTTTCAAATAATTGCTTTAACTTGGGGTAAGAGTCATTGGCTCCACACTGAGTTAATAAAGGGCTGCTGGAAGCTGTGGCTGCAAACCCACAGTTGTGTTTCTCTGCTGCTCTTCCACAGGAGATGCTGAGCACAAGCCATACATCTGTGGGGACGCAGACTCTGCCTCCACGGTGCTGGATGGCTCTGAAGACTACCTCATTCTGGCCTGCGATGGCTTCTACGACACAGTCAACCCCGATGAGGCAGTCAAAGTGGTGGCTGACCATCTGAAGGAGAATAACGGTGACAGCAGCATGGTAGCACATAAATTGGTGGCATCTGCTCGGGATGCCGGCTCCAGCGACAACATCACTGTCATCGTGGTGTTTCTCAGGGACATGAATGCGGCCGTCGCGGTCAGCGAGGAATCGGACTGGACAGAGAACTCTTTCCAAGGTGGTCAAGAAGACAACGGGGAAGACAAGGAGAACCATGGAGACTGCAAACGGCCGTGGCCCCAGCACCAGTGCTCAGCACCTGCAGATTTAGGCTATGAAGGACGAGTGGACTCCTTCACTGACAGAACTAGCTTAAGCATAGGGTCCAGCGTTAACCCCATGGATGATCAAGGCTATTTAGACCTGACAAAAACAGAAACTAGTACACCTCAGAGTGCCAAATGTCTGCCACCAGTCCAAGCGTTTAGTCCTGGCATACCAAAGAGTGCGGGTTCGATCAGCAGCTCCCCGGTGAAGAGCGAGTCCCCGGAGCTCAGCGTGTCCTCGGGCTGCGGCCGGAGCGATCGCAGGGAGGACAGGCAGGATGCCGCCCCTCTGAGTTCGGGTGCTGCAGAGCAGGGCATCTACAGGGTCAGGGGTTTATCCCCCGTCTTCTCGGGGCTGGAAGATGAACTGTTCAAATCCTTGGGAAAACGAGCTGCGTTCCCTCATTTCCGGCTCTGCAATGGGAAGAGGCGGCGAGGAGCCAGGCTCAAACCAAAGTTTCACACGCTGCTCTGGGCTCACGAGCCTTCCCAGGGAGAAGGATCCGGCCTGGCCTTCCCTGCCCGGGGCCGCAGGAGCAGGAGGGCGTTGGCCCGATCCTCCCCGTGGCAGAGGCTGCCCAGCCACGGCTCTTACAGCGAGTGTTTGATGCGAAGACAAAGTCATTGTATACCAGACCCACACCTTCATCAATGCTGTAAAATGTAACCACTCCCTCGTGTTCCCCCTGTCAGACTCCCAAAGTAGACATTCCCAAAATAAAACTGGCATCATCAGAAAGCGAATAAGAGGTGGGCATTTCCGAACTGTACTCCAGTCCCCTGCCAAGCTCAACCCCTGTGTAAATAGATCTAGGAATTAACCAATGTAGTTGTTTCAATCTCTAACAAAGTTTGGTGGTGGTGCCACCCCCAGCAATGCCGCAGCCGCCCGACCACCCGCACACACGAGTGTCCAGCCACATCCAGCAGGGAGAGCCCAGCAGCCGCTGCACGTGGACAGACAACGCCAGGGCACGGTCCCTAAACACGCAGAAGGTTGCACCTGCCTGAGAAATGTCTGTGGAGCAATACTCAAGGAACGATCTGGGTTAGAACTGCCAAATATTTTCAGAGCGGGGGGAAGTTTCCATAGAGTCGAGGTGTGGGGGTTTTTTTTGGGTTTTTGTTTTTCTTTTCGTGTTCTGCTTTCTGTTTATTCCAGGTGAGCGTTAAGATGAATTAGAAAACTACATCCACTTTTGCAGGTAGACGACTAAAAGCCATACAGGGTTTACCAGGTACCTTAGGAATGGACTCACTAAGCTCCTGCTGCTCTGGTCTCAGACTCCCATCGAGGTACAGACTCATAATTTACTTTTTTTTTCATGTAATATAAAATGCAGAGTATGAAAAGAACTTTTCTTGCAGTTTAAAAAAAAAAAAATTTCCTATGGCTGGAGGTGCAGTGTAGGGAATTTCGTATCTTTCTGGTGCTTTTAGTGGCATTTTTCTCATTTCTCAGTTTAGGAAATTGTTCTCAATGAGTTGAACATGATTGTGCTTAATGCTTTGAGCCAACCTCTTCCCACCTTAACTTCATCTCAGGTCTTAAAAGAACCCAACCCGTGGAGGTGTCCAGTCCCACCCTGTGTCCCCGCACAGATCAGGAGCTGTTGGATGAGCTGTGTGGTTCTGGTGAGGATTCCCAGGTGGCAAAGGCAGCATTTCACATCCAGTGGCAGCAGGAAGGATGCAGCAGCACGGCTGCCACGGGGTGTGCTCAGGGTGTGTAGGGATGGATGCCGGAGCAATCCAAAGGGGATGGAAATGCCGAGGAGGCAGCAGAGCAGGGGCTGCGCTGCGGCTTCAGCAGAGAGGGCGGAATTCAGTGCCTGGGCAGGGCTCTGCTCCGGCTCCCCCGGCTCCAGGAGGGCCAGGGAGGAACTCAGCTGCCCTTCTTTGCATAAGCAGCGGCCACCAGCCCCTCCCAGCTCCCGAGGTGAGGTCACACCCTTAGGGGAGCCGCTAATTGGGACATAAATAAGCGGCCGATTCCCATCAGCTCCACTAAGTCCAGATCCCGTTCCTACCTTGTTACAGCGATGCATTGGGAGGAGTATGAATAAAGTAAGTCTTCATAGGCACTTAGTGAACAATTCATATCATTTTAGCAGTAACAATAGCAGTATTAGTGTTTAGCTAGAATTTGCAAAGTATTTTAATATTAAGTAGTCAAGAAAATGATTCAACACGGCGAGATGGCGAGGCTTGAATTCTGCCAATTTCCGCTGCTTCTCTCTTTGATGCACTATTTTAAAAGCAATCTGATGAACAGCAAAAGGCTTTGTGAGCAACCAGGAGTTGGAGTGTGGCTTTAGATTCCTTTGATCTTTTTCAAACTTTGTTTTAATCTTATGGGATCATTGGCTCTTATCTGCCATCTTATTCTGCCTTAGCTGTTGTCAACGTTCTCTTTAGCTGCAGCTTCTGTTCCAAGTCAGATTTACCGAGGAAATTTGAGAAACCATGAAATGGTAAAATATGCAACTCTGGGGCATCTCTGTGGTGCCTTTGTTTTAAATTATTCACAGTAATAATGACTTACTGAAAGTCCATCTTTAGCTGACTGTCATGTTCCAGAGAGAAAGGTGGTGTAAGTGCAATTCCTGATGTGAGTAAATTAGAATGCAAACCCATCACGGATGATAAAACTTCTTCCCAGTCTGCAGGAGCAGTTGAAGAGCACTGGACTGCATGTGTGCTGTTTTGGGAAGGATCTAGCTTTTTTAGGTGTGGATTCATAAATGGTAATTCTGCGACTCATCCCATTTATCTTGCTAGGAGAAAAAAAATTCCACCATCATAGTTGCAGTGTGGTCAGGTAAAACCATTGTATAGATAGAGCAAGTGTTCATTTCTTCACTAACTGCATATTTATAGAGTAGATAGGAACCATTTGTAAGGTAAGTCCTTTAAAGTTCTATAATATTAAAAGTAGTGGTTATTGGTCTGATTATGCTGCTCTTGATTCTACACACTAGACAAAAAGCAGTGCTTGTGAAATGCAGTGTTTTCTCTTAATGCCACTGGTGATAGGAAGTAGTTCCTTCAGTTCAAACTCCTGTGCCCTTATCTGCTGCTTGCTGACGTAAGCAATAATCCCTCTCTAACGGTATCTAAGTGTTCTGTATCTCGTACCTTGATCGTCTATCTGGTGACAGTGTAAAATATTAGGCTAATAGAGAAGTATCTCATTGTATTTATTAACTGTTGATACTGAGATTCAGTCTGTGACCTGTGTTTTGTATTTTTATCGTGTATCTTAGTGGTGGTGAAAATTTGTACAACAAATCTTTCCAATAAAGAGCTGAAGTATCCCTTTTCCGCGTTCACACAACCCCGCATCCCTCTCGGTCGACGTGGTGACCGTGGTTGCAGAACCAGGAGGTGGCAGTGACAACATGACTTTAGTTTTGTTCTGTTTCAGTTGTGGTGATTTTGAGGAAGGGGCTCGGGGCTGGTTTGCCTGGAGCCGCTCAAAACTCGCTCGTAAGCTCTTCACTGTGAGCGCCGTGGGGCTCCCGCGCCAGGAGGGGCCGCGGTGCTTTTCCAACCCTGAGGAATGTGTGCGGTGCAGAGAGCAGAATAGCACCAGAGCAGGGAGCTCTTCACCCATTTTCCATTTGCACTAGAGGTGGGTGGAAACGCACGTGTGGAACTTTTCCTTACCTAGAAGTGCCATCCATTGTCCTTGCGAGTGAAAACCGTTCCGTAGCTGAGCTGAGCGCGGTGGCGCCGCAGCGCTGGAGGACAATGTCCAAGCAGACTTTAACTTACACCACGTTTCTGGTGGTGCATCATCCTAGAAACTCCGCCTGTTTTTGGAGCACTGTGTGTCAGTTGTCCCATGGGCAGATGAGGCACAAGGAGTTGTGTGCATAGACATGGCTGCTGTAGTTCAGGTCCACTCTCTCCTCACCAAATCCTCCCCACCCCAAGATTCTGCGGGAATAAAGCAAAATGAGAAAGATTGGTCTAAATTAGGGGCTGTTTTAGCACAATTTCACTCAGCACTTAGTCACATAAACAAAGCCATCCAAGGGGATACTGCAGCTTTGTTCATGTCTGTAATTTAGGGCAATCTTTCTTTAATTCACATCCTCTTTGCGACAGGAACAAAACTTTCTACCCTCGTATCATGTGCAATAATAAGGAAGCATTAACACAACCTCGGACTCCGATGTCCGTGCCCCTCCCCAGCCCTGGCACAGCCCTTGCCAGCATTAAAGCTAAAGACAAACAACCCCCACCTGTCAGGGTCTCGTACAACCCTTGTGTCGTGTCCGGTTTTTCCTCTCCTTCCCTCTGAAGACACCTCGGGATGAGAACAGGGGAGGTGGCTGAGCTCACCCTGAGTGCTGCTGCTCGTGGCCAGCCAGGCACGGTCTCAGCTCCTGGGTGCTCCTGCTGACCTTTCTGTAGCACCTTGTTCATGAAACATGTTCTTGATGAAGTGAATAAATTCAAGCTAAATCATGTACAAGCGTTGGGACTTCTCCATTTTAGAGTTTCGTTCTAACCATGTATTAGTCATGCATATTTTATTTATGAAAGCTGTTTATACAGGAAAAACTGTTGAAATTTTACCAATATCTTAATAAAACAGTAATTTAAACCACACTCCAGATAGTCTGGTTATTGAAGAGCTAACAAAGGCAGCAAGCAGCTGTGCCTTTAGTGTGGTGAAAGGGGGTTTTCTTTGTGGGATATGGAACTGGAGTTACTCTGTTGAGCTCTGGCTTCCATGTGGCTGCTCAGGGCCCATTGTGGTCAAAGGGAATGGGGCTATTATGGCACAGCCCAAGGAGATCAGTGTCTTCCAAGCCCTTTTTTCCCCCCCTGCTCTTTCCAAACCAGCTCTGAATAAGCTTCCATAAAAGGTGAGCAAAGCAACAGCTCCTCTCTCACCCTTCCAACAGCTGGGCACCAGCTCCAGAGCAGCCCCTGTGCCTCAGTGGTCATTTCCTTCAGCTTGGGCCTCTCACTGGGAGTAAAGCAGAGCTCCCTGACCCCGGTAACTGAGCTGTGTGCAGGGATCACCACAGCCCCAAACACTCACAAGGCACCTCCAGGGCGTGGGCCTGGCCCTGGCCCCCTCCAGGCTCAGCACTGGCACAGGATCGGCTCCCTCTGCAGCCGAGTAACAGCAGCTTGGGGGAAAACCCCACATCCTTCTCCATTCCTGCTTGAATCAAGGAGATCTAAGCACTTGGTGTAGCTTCTACAAATAGAATCCCAGAGGGATTTAAGTGCTTTTCACTGAATAATTAAGGAAAAAAGTGACAGGTGGATGGCAGGAAAAAGTCCCTCCCTGCACAGCCTGGTGTTGCAGCAAGTGGAGCTGACTCCACCGTTTTACTTATCCACACACAAAACACCTAAAATTCAGATTTCAACATTCATTTTATTAACAAAGTGCAAACAGTTTTAAACTAGGAGTTGTAGAGCACATTCACACGGACGCAGGCACACGAGGACAACACCAGGCAGGTACTGACAGGGCTCATGCTTTGTCACTAACCAGGCATCAGCTCTCAGAGGAGCTTCACAAGGACTTTAGCAGCTCAAAATGCAACGAACAAAGAGTTTGGCAATGGCTGTGGTTGGTCCACGTCACCAGCTGGGGAAAACAATTGGAGTGGTGGCTGTTTCCCCCAGCACTGGAGCCACCCCAGCATTCCAAAGGACAGTCACACACTCGTGCTCATTCCAGCGGCACAGCAGGACAGGACTCAGCACCTTCCCCACAACTCCTCAGAGCAGCTGAGGCTGGTGGAGCAGCAGTGCCACCCCTCAGTGCCAGGCCTGCACTGTGCCCGGGGGCAGGGCTGAGACAATGGCAGAAGAACCACGCTGGCCAGAGCAGAGAGGGCACACAGCCATGGACAGCAGCCTCAGGCTCAGCTCCAGGGAATGCACACACCTCTCCCAGGGATGCAGCCGTGGGTCTTCAGGCCTCGAGCCCGTGCTCTACCTGCTCCAAACAAAGTTTGCACTGAAAACTCCCCTGCTGGAGCAGTTTTAAAGCTTCAAACAAACACAATCTTACAAGATAAAATTTTATGCCAGCTATTTCAACCCAGTCAGTTCTGGAAGCATTTAGAGCTCAGCCCTCCCTCCCTCCCTCCTTCCCAGACTGCCTCACAGGCACAGGGAGCTCAGGATCCTGGCACAGGATGAGCAGTGGCTCCGGGGCTGCAGCTCCTGGAGCAGCACAGGGAAGGTGCAGCCCCAAGGAGACCCTTCCCAGTTACCTGGTACTGTCATCTCCAGGGACAAAGCTGAGATCGTCAGCACTGGCCTGATCCCCGTCTGGTAACACCGAGGAGTGCTCTGAGGGTGAAAACAACACCAGCAGAGCACAGTCACCCTCACACAGTGAGCACACAGGGAATGCTCCCTCCCTTCACTCAGGCCAAAACTTCACCCCCCTGCCCCAGCCTCACAGCTTTGATCCATTGGATTGGAAGGGAAAGCTTAACCTGAGGACTTTCTGAAGCTCCACTGAAGTGCTGGAAGCACATTCCTGCCAATTAAGATGTAAATCCATGTCTAAGGCAGTGGTTACCTCCCTGGAATTAGCCTACTTACAGTGCCAGTCCTGGCACACAGGGAGTTCCAATTGGGAACCGGAGCTCTGGGTTTTCCAGCCCTTCCCAGAAGACTCACCTAAACTGACTTCTCAAGGCTAGCAGGAGTTTCCCTCTCTTGTTTTGAGCTATTTTAATTGGGATCCCAGGAGAAGAGTTCCAAATCTTACTGGCACTTGGAGCTTTAACACCTCCACAGCCCCCCCCAGGGATCTGTATCCGAGGAGCTCTGGGAAGACTGGGAATGTTTGGGAAGAGGGGCTCCATCAGCTCTACCTTCACTGGAGGGCTGGACAGAGAAGGCCTGGTTGAACACCTCTGAGGGAGAGGTGGCATCTTCCTGCTCCTCGTTTTCCGTGTCACATTCGATGTCACTGTCACTGCTCATCCCTGGCAGGAGGTGAAGGACGTGCTTCTGACACACCCCAGCTGCAAGAGAAACCAGAGAGAGCCAGGGCAAAATGACAGCAGCGGGATCTGCACAGCTGAAATGTCTGACTTTATCCATGAGATATCCATGAGAGTTCCTGCCAGCTCCTGGGACCAGGTATCAGGAGAACAGAGGGAAGGAACACTTTCCAAGCACTCAGGGGTCTGACAGAGCACTGGGCACCAGCCCTCAACACAGCTGGGTTTGTCCTGTGTGTCACCAGCTGAGCTGCTCAGTCTACTCTACAGCTGGGACAGGAAATAAAAGTTGCTTTTCTGGGAGCTAAAAGGCAGCACAACCCGTGGGGCAGGTGGACCTACCAGGCAGCAACAGGGGATTTGAGTCTCACAAGACTCCAAAGCAGAACCAGAGCTGCTGGTGACTCCAGGTGATGACCTTGGGTGTGCACTGGGCAGCCAGAGCTCTCCATGGACAACACAAAGTCTGCTTGGCTCTACTTTTTAAAGGCTGATACTCATTGCTAAGAAAAAGCAAAGTGAGGGGCCAATTCTACTGCAGTTTTTCCTCTGAAGGGAAAAAAAATTGTAATATTTGCTTCCTGGGGTTTTTAACAATGAAGTATTTCAGTTTCTAAAGCGTTTTCCTATTGGGCTCCCTGCTCTGAGAGCAGAACTGCAGGAGCACATCACGATCACGCTGCAGTGACTAAGAGCAGAAATTCAGTTTTGTCACTGAGAGACCTTCTGTAAATGCCAACTCCCACACAATATTGCACACTGCAGCTCGAGATGGATGCTGGCACCTTAATATAGGCTTTGCGCTACAATCCAGTCATTGAAATTCAAATTAGTGCAGGGGTGGAAGGCAGGAGAGTTTTAGCAAGATAAGAAAAACTATGTGGACTTTCATAAGGGAAAAAAAAAGCAGTGTTATTTTTTTCCAGCATGGAAAGGATGCAAGAAGGGAGGGGGAAAACTTTCCTTTAAATCTCTAAGGAAACTGGATTATGCACCACAACACCCAGCACGAAGGAAGGGCTGGAGAGGTTCTTGTGTGGCTGTGCAGAAAGTTACCCTGGGGGGCTGTCCCTGAAGGCAGCAGAATTACCAGCCAAGGTCACTGGCTACTATTTTAATTAGATATGAAATTCTTCTCAAGGCCACTCCACAGAACAGCAGAGCAAAGTCCTGGAGCTGTCTCAAGGCACAAAAAGCAGCTGCTTGTCCAGAGAGCGACGGCCCCACGTGCCAGCCCCGATCCTGCCCCGACAGCAGCCACACAGAGATTTTCTGTCCTCACTCAGATTTATTCTCCAGCAGCCACCTTACAGCAAAGT